CTTTCACAAGTGCGCTGATATTACTTATACCATTTCTACACTATATGTACACTAATGCAGTAGTCTGCATAACATAAATCTTCTATTTTTTGTGAGAATAAAAATTCAAAGTGGAAAGCAAAAGAAATGTAACAGAGGTCTGGGGACATGAGTAATGAACAGATGAAATATTATTTTAGTGCCAGGAATGTTTGTCTTGTTTATTCTGGACCCTATTTGGAAATTGGCATCTTTTGAAATTTGTGTGAAATTGGCAAAATTGCCAATTTCTGACCACTTTATTGGATGGTTGAAATCAGTAAATGGGTGGTTTCTTGTACTCATTCGATAGAAAAAATGGAGTTCTAGAAAAATATGTACGATTTTTGTTGACTGGTACATTGGATTTGGCCGAAAATAGGGCTCAAATTGGGCGATGTTGCCGATGCGTAAACATTGTTGAGACCGCTAACTTCGCGAGAGCATAATTACATAAGGTTTCCATCAAATTTCATACTTTTGGTGTCATTATGATCGGGAAAAGGTTCTCTATTATTTCATAAGATTTGATTTTTTTTTTTTTTTTTTTTTTTTTTTTTTCCGAAAAATTCCCGACCCTGAGAACAAGTTTAGGAGAGGGCCTGCCGACCCTGAAAAGATTAATGATTGATTTTATTTCCAATAAAACATGATTATTCTTTAAAAGTGGGTTTAGATAGTATACTGAAAATTCCTTCCTGTCTATAAATACTGAAATTACTAGCAATTGTGTGTTGTCTTCTTTCACTTAGGTTGCTTCTTCAGTAGGCTGATGGATAAAAAGTCATTACACACAAGAATTTCTGATCTTTCATTTGTTGTTCCATCCTCATAGGCTGCCCACTCTATTTGTTTGTTAAAAATCACCAATTACAGTGATGGGGTTTTTCAGGATCCCTTTTTGTCAGTCTCTGTAGCATATACAGTTCATCATTTATGTTATCAAATCTCTCTTCCCACACTAGTGAATGGAGTTGTATTCAGTTCTAAGCTTTTTATTATGATGTCTTCTACTAAAATTTTGACATTTTTGTCTGGGATATTAATTTTGGTGGCTTGTTTTATTTTCCAGTTTTGCCAAATCTCTCTCTTTCCTACTCTTTCTTCACACTGAGTAGTTTTCCCTCGAATACCACCTCATAAAATATGCCTTACCATTTTTTCCTTATTTATAATATCTTGGAGCACTTCTTTTTGAGATTGCCCCAACTATACAGTATTTACATATGAAATCTATTTAGATTTGTATCATAATTTTCTTTGAATGTTTTTCTTTATATGTTTCAACTTCTCTATCCTTTGTTTTGTGCTGATAATCCATTTGATGGGATGGCCATGTTGAGTGTGGAGAATGAGCAAGGGGGGGGGGAGAAGAGTGAGGCAGTGTTTTGTGGTGGAAATGGGGAGTGTGGGGAATGTGGGTGGGTGAGTAGGTGTGTGTGTGTGTGTGTGTGTGTGTGTGTGTGCACACAGGGAAAAAGTGTGAGGGAAGAGAGGGTGGTTAAGCAGGGGGAAGCAAGGAAGAAAGAATAGTAGGAAGAGGGAGGGAGGGAGGCATGCTGTGAAAAGAGTAATTATAGGGAAAGGAGAATGAAGGAGGAGACTGCATTTTTTCATGAACAAGCTGAGGCATTTGTGACACAATAAGAGGGAGTGTGTTCTTGTAACAATAAATAGATACATTTCCATAGAGCACTTAATATTTTTTTTATGTACTTTTAATTTTGGTGGACAGCTTCACTATTAAAATATAATTCATGGAGTAGTTGAAATTCACTTTTATTTCTAAAAAATTTCTAGTAATCATTGTTGTGACTGCTATTATGTTTGTCGGATTAATTTGCACTGTAACAGTGTGTTGTGTAATGGTGACATAAACAGTCTTGCATGGGAATGTGTCTGCTACAAAATTAATGCTCTTGTGTTATTTAGGTGGAGGACTTTGGGGGAAAATTTTTGAATGTTATGTAGCCTATTTCTTCAGTTTTGAGCCTGTGGCTTTATTCCATCCATTATGTATGTTTCCTTTGCAAGTTTTTCTTCTCATTCTATATTTCTAGATATTATTTCGTCTTCTGTGACCATATATACAAGCCTATTGCTATTTACTATATTTTTTCTGATGGTTATCTTAAGAAGCAAATGTATCTTGGGCTTGTATATATTGTTCCTGGTTCCTGCTTGAATTGGAGCCCTTTGGTTGCATGGAGATGTGTCTAGTGCATGGTGGTGTCTCATCTCCAGGCCTTGGTGGAGAAGCTGACTTGTTTGGCTGTGCCCCCGTCAATGGTGGCCCTGACCTGGAGAGTTTTGAGATGCTGGGTGGAGATGAGGTTGCCCAAGGTTAGTGTTGTAGCTCTCCCACCAAGCCATGTATATCTTATGCACCATTATCATCACATACTGGTCATTTATTTTCTTGATTTTGCTTATGTTCTTTTTTCATGAATCCTAACAAAACTAAAAAATATTTTTGTTTCTGCATTTGGCTTGATCAATTCAGCTGACAATGTATGTACGTTTATATATATATATATATATATATATATATATATATATATATATATATATATATATATATATATATATATATATATATATATATATATATATATAAATTTTTTTTATATATAAATATATAAATATATATATATATGTATGTATATATATATATATAATGTATATATATTATGTATATATATATATATATATATATATATATATATATAATATATAATATATATATATATATATATATTTATATATGCGCAAAACAAACACTCTGAAAGAGTAGAGAAATTCCAAGCGCTTTCGTGACTACTCACATTATCAAGGAACTATGAAAGTAAAGCATCCAAGGAAGCTATATAAGGGGTCTGGCCAGCACCTCACTATCAGATCCCACAACGGTTAAACACGTGACGCGCGCCGACCCAACTTGGATAGGTCCTTTGCACAACTCGCCCACAAACTATTCTACCCAAGAAAATTTAAAAATTATTATTTGTCCAGTGTATTATTAAATTCTTCCCAAATTCTATTAATTATAAATGGATCTAATTTATATAAACCAAAGGAAATATAATATTGTCAAAACTGCTTTTTATGAAACAAGATTCAGTTATATTCCTGTCGACCATGGACTTGCTTGATACTACTTTCTCAACTTTTTGAAAATCAATTGGATGGTTAAAATCTCTTACATGAATAAATAGAGCATTGGAATCTTGTCCAGTTCTAATGCTATATTTATGTTGTTTTAATCTTAGTTCGAGATTTTTACCAGTTTGACCGTAATAAACTTTATCGCAAATTTTACAAGGAATCTTATAGACACATCCATCAGCATTTTGGGGGAATTCTTTATCAAAAGTTTTTTTACTGTATCAAGATTTTTGAATACAACTTTAATATTAAAAGTCTTAAGAAGAGAAGGCATATCAACCAAGTTTTCATGGTAAGGGAGAACCAACATATTTTTAGTTGAATAAGGCTGGTTGTCCTTTTTTGGATTGTAAAAAGTATTTCTAGCAACTTTAAAAGACTTATCAATTACATTTCTTGGGTATTTTAAATCATTACCTATTTCATAAATTTTGGATATTTTCTCATCTATGAACTCAGGACTACAAATTCGTAAAGCTCTCAAAAACATTGATGAGAAAACAGACAGTTTGACTCTATCTTGATGCGAGGAATAATAGTGGACATAGGAACAGTTATTTGTAGGTTTTCTGTAAATTTTAAATTTGAAATTCATTATTACCCTTGATAATTAAAACATCTAGAAAAGGCAATGAGCTATTTTCTTCAAACTCAACAGTAAAGTTTATAGAATGGGCTAAGCTATTTAATTTTCCAAGGAAATGGTGTATATCTACATTTTTGGGCATAAGACACAAAATATCATCAACATATCTGAACCATTTAGCTGTATTAGGGAGGATTGTGTTAAGCAACCTTGTTTCAAAAAATTCCATGTATAGGTTACTAAGAACAGGTGAAAGAGGATTTCCCATTGCCATACCAAACTTCTGAGTGTAAAACTTATCATTAAATACAAATTTTGCATCAACAATGCAAAGTTTAATAAGTTTAATGATAGTAGGAACTGGCAATGGTAAATCATAGTTAACGAGTTCTTCAGATAAGAAACTTAATAAATCATCAACAGGAACTTTCGTAAACAAGGAAGTAACATCAAAACTAACGATGTTAGTTTTAATATTAAAACTAACGATGTTAGTTTTGATGTTACTTCCTTGTTTACGAAAGTTCCTGTTGACGATTTATTAAGTTTCTTATCTGAAGAACTTAGTTAGTTTTAATATTAAAACTAACGATGTTAGTTTTGATGTTACTTCCTTGTTTACGAAAGTTCCTGTTGATGATTTATTAAGTTTCTTATCTGAAGAACTCGTTAACTATGATTTACCATTGCCAGTTCCTACTATCATTAAACTTATTAAACTTTGCATTGTTGATGCAAAATTTGTATTTAATGATAAGTTTTACACTCAGAAGTTTGGTATGGCAATGGGAAATCCTCTTTCACCTGTTCTTAGTAACCTATACATGGAATTTTTTGAAACAAGGTTGCTTATCACAATCCTCCCTAATAGAGCTAAATGGTTCAGATATGTTGTTGATATTTTGTGTCTTATGCCCAAATATGTAGATATACACCATTTTCCCTTTGGAAAATTAAATAGCTTAGCCCATTCTATAAACTTTACTGTTGAATTTGAAGAAAATAGCTCATTGCCTTTTCTAGATATTTTAATTATTAAGGGTAATAATGAATTCAAATTTAAAATTTACAGAAAACCTACAAATAACTGTTCCTATGTCCACTATTATTCCTCGCATCAAGATAGAGTCAAACTGTCTGTTTTCTCATCAATGTTTTTGAGAGCTTTACGAATTTGTAGTCCTGAGTTCATAGATGAGAAAATATCCAAAATTTATGAAATAGGTAATGATTTAAAATACCCAAGAAATGTAATTGATAAATCTTTTAAAGTTGCTAGAAATACTTTTTACAATCCAAAAAGGGACAACCAGCCTTATTCAACTAAAAATATGTTGGTTCTCCCCTTACCATGAAAACTGGTTGATATGCCTTCTCTTCTTAAGACTTTTAATATTAAAGTTGTATTCAAAAATCTTGATACAGTAAAAAAAACTTTTGATAAAGAATTCCCCCAAAATGCTGATGGATGTGTCTATAAGATTCCTTGTAAAATTTGCGATAAAGTTTATTACGGTCAAACTGGTAAAAATCTCGAACTAAGATTAAAACAAAATAAATATAGCATTAGAACTGGACAAGATTCTAATGATCTATTTATTCATGTAAGAGATTTTAACCATCCAATTGATTTTCAAAAAGTTGAGAAAGTAGTATCAAGCAAGTCCATGGTCGACAGGAATATAATTGAATCTTGTTTCATAAAAAGCAGTTTTGACAATAATATGAATATTTCCTTTGGTTTATATAAATTAGATCCATTTATAATTAATAGAATTTGGGAAGAATTTAATACACTGGACAAATAATAATTTTTAAATTTTCTTGGGTAGAATAGTTTGTGGGAGAGTTGTGCAAAGGACCTATCCAAGTTGGGTCGGCGCATGTCACGTGTTTAACCGTTGTGGGATCTGATAGTGAGGTGCTGGCCAGACCCCTTATATAGCTTCCTTGGATGCTTTACTTTCATAGTTCCTTGATAATGTGAGTAGTCACGAAAGCGCTTGGAATTTCTCTATTCTTTCAGAGTGGTTGTTTTGCATATTTTGAAATCACCTGTTTACTGTGATCTTATTGCATATACGTATACAGTGGACCCCCGCATAACGATCACCTCCGAATACGACCAATTATGTAAGTGTATTAATGTAAGTGCGTTTGTACGTGTATGTTTGGGGGTCTGAAATGGACTAATCTACTTCACAATATTCCTTATGGGAACAAATTCGGTCAGTACTGGCACCTGAACGTACTTCTGGAGTGAAAAAATATTAACAGGGGGTCCACTGTATCTGTGTGTGTGTGTGGGGGTGTGTGTGTGTGTCTATATATAATATATATATATATATATATATATATATATATATATATATATATATATATATATATAATATATATATATATATATATATATATATATATATATATATATATATATATATATATACACACACACACACACACACACATTGTATATATACATGTATATATCCTTAACAATAGAGCTAACTGTATAGATTAGATAGTGTATAGGTGTCACTGATATTTGTTTTCCAGGTGTCACTGTATTAAAACATACAGTATTTGTGTGTTAGGTGTTAAGCAGAACCATCAAGTTTACTGTTGTGGATAAACTACAGTGTTGTATATGATCTCACAAAATTGTCCATGAATTTACATGTATTTGTTTTACTGATAAATAATTTTAGTGGATTTATTTCTGTAACTGCTACATAATGTTAATATTAATACAGGAGCCCCTTTGCATGTGATGATTTTTTTTAATAACTGGTAATTTCTTTCGGTGCACATGCAAAGCAGTTGTAAGTTTATCTATATATTAAGAAATCATTTTTTTTTTTACTAAGATTATTTATCCAAAATGATGATGACTGGTACAGTATGTGTGTTAGCCTTGCCGTGAAGCATATTTGCATTTTATCTTACAATAGATTCTTCTAACTCATTTGTCTCTTAACCCCTAAACGGCCCAAACGTATAAAGTATATGTTCTCTCCCCCAGTGCCCTGAATATTTTGAAAAATATTTTTTTTTCATTGAAATAAAGAGAAAAATTTTCTAAGTGTTATAGGATTAAAATAAAAAATCAAGGTCATTACTTAATGAGATATGAGGCTGCTAAGTTTGCACTTAATGCTCACCTGTTGGCAACATCGAGTCCTGCCACTTATGGAAGTGTTGCCGATATACCATTTTTTCTCATTTCTATATTATTTTATATAGTTTTTATGTTCTGATAATGACAATTTATTGTAGTTCTTGGCATTTCATAACCAATTTTTGTTCTGACACTAATATTAGGTACTCAAATTGTACTCAAATTGTCACAAACACATTGACAGGTGGACATTTACACCTGCCTTGGTCATTTACTATTGTCTTGGAATATATACAAGTATTTATAGGTTCATGGAAAGCATATAAATCTATAGGGGAAGGAAGGCGGGGTAGGGGTCGTCCTCGAAAGGGTTGGAGAGAGGGGGTAAAGGTTTTGTGGGCAAGGGGCTTTGACTTCCAGCAAGCGTGCGTGAGCGTGTTAGATAGGAGTGAATGGAGACGAATGGTACTTGGG